CCTACTATTCATATGTAAAAAAAAAACCTAAATAAATAAAAAGACAAAGGCAGTTGTTCAGGCAAATAAATTGTATGACGCAGGTAGTGGGGGGCAACATCAGAATTGAATGATGTCTGTTTTTGTGGGGCAGGGCTACTGTGGGCAGTGGTATGTCTTAAGTACTCCCCAGGGAAGGTGAATTGTTTTGTTATGTATGACAATATAAAGTTTGCTGATAGACAGTTTAAGTTATAGGGGGGATTTGCCCTCCCTCCGCATCTGCATTTATGGGATTAAGGTCCCAGATCCGTCATTCTGGATCTGTCTTCGGACCCCGACCCTGCGTTACGCTGGGCGCCCTGTACCCATCCATCCCTTGGGGAGCCCTTTGACCCCGAATAGCTGGCGCCTGCCCCCCTCCGCGTCACACGGATTGCGTACGCCCCCCACCAAGCCCTCCCAAAATCACTCTGCCAATCAGTGCCGCCTTAACGTGCCACGGGGTGCGGTGGGCCGTGGAGTTTAAGTATCACATTAACCGGTGCTGACATGCCACGTCCGGGCTGTGAATTAGGCCCTCGCCACGGCGCCAGCTTCTCCATGCACGCTTAAGAGCGAGCTGCTGCGGGTTTTAATGGCCTGCTCATTCAGGACGGCCCTCTCCAGCCAGGAAAGGCTGATTTTAATGACCCTCCAACTCAACAGCTTCCCCCTGTAAAGAAGAGCAAAGAAAGGGACCGGAGATAAGCCTCCCCCCCCACCCCGCACTCCATCTTGGTACGCTCCATGCCCCTCGCCCTTGTTCTGCTTCTGAAAGCGTGATTGCTGCATTGTAGCAAAGGACACGGGAGGCCACCTTATCAGACTCGTCCCCCCTGCACCCCTGTCCCCATCCTCTCTCTCTCTGGCTCTGTCTCCCCCTTCATGTGTCTCGCTCCGGTTCGAATGAGAAATTCCTTGTAGTCGTTCATCGCCTTTATCCCCCATGCACCACGTAAAATTATTACAAGCCGTGAATAATCTGTAAAGTCGACTCCAGTGGGGGCCGGAGGCACGGCTGCACTTTCAGCTACACACGTGTTTTGTGTCATTCATGTTTAATGTCAGTAATCCCCAACTTAAATTCTGTGCATACAGAATCCCGGCTTCCGACTCTTGCGCTTATTTTAAAGATATTCGGGGCTTGGATTTTTAATGTAGCCATGGTACAGCAGGCGCTAAGCGATCAGCTCACTGTGAGCCGGGTTTTGGGCCCGAGGCCCGCCTGGCATTAGCGCCACCGTTGGCAAAAAAAAAAAGAGCTCAGCTTTCTGAAAATAAGCAGCCGCAAATTCGTCGCTCTGCTTGCGTCTGAAACCTGGGCCTCCTTCCGGCGCTGAGTGGGGAAGGAGGAGGCGGGACTCTGATTTCCGTATCTCGCCTCCTCTTGTGTGTACAAGCCGGCGCGCTGCGAGCATGACTTGTATCACATGAATGGCTTAATTATGTCAGTTTGTACGAGTTATTATCTCGGCCCAATGAGTCATTAACATACAGGGAGAGCAGCGCTTTGATGTCGCATCACTGTCGCTATGGTTTCACAGCGCTGTCTTTACATGCTGCAGATGTTTGACTGTCACATCCACCCTGCTGGGTGTTTCCATCACATCTATGCACTGTTTCTCCATCATTTCTACCCCACTGTGAGACTACCACATCTACACCAAGTTTATCCATCACATGTACCCTCTTGCGAGTCTCCATAACGCCTACCCTCCTGTGAATCTTGATCACATCTACCCAATTGTGGATCTCTATCACATCTACCATGTGTCTTCATCACATTTACCCTCCTGTGAGTGAGTCTCCATCATATCTACATTCCTGTGAGCCTTCATTACATCTACCCTCCTGTGAGTGAGTCTTCATCACATTTACCCTACTATGAGCCTTCATCACATCTACCCTCCTGTGAGTGAGTCTCCTTCACATTTACCCTCCCGTGAGTGAGTGTCCATCACATCTACCCTCCTGTGAGTGTGTCTCCATCAAATCTACACCATGTTTCTCCTCATATCTATTTTGCTGTGAGTCTCCATCACATCTACACTATGTTTCTCCATCATATGTATCCTTCTGTGAGTTTCCACCTCTTCTACACTGGTTATCTGTTTATGTCTCTTGTTACTTTCATGTTGGTGTGTTTCTGCCATGATGTGTTTCTGTCAGGTCAGTGTTAGTGCGTATGAAATCTATGTCGACGTGTGTGACTCAGACATGTCTGCACTGATGTGTACCTCTCAGATGTGTGTTGATGCATGTACTTCTCTCATGGCTGCATTGATGTATGTCAGTCATGTCTGGTGTTTATCTGCCAGGTCTGTGCTGGTGTTTATCTGCGAGTTCTGAGCTGGTGTTTATCTGCCAGGTCCGTGCTGGTGTGTAACTGCTAGGTCCATGTGGGTGTGCAACTACCAAGTCTGTGCTGGTGTTTATCTGCCAGGTACTCAGACACGTCTGTTTGGTGAAAAACTATAAACGGTAGAGTTAGGGGGCACCAGCGAGGGCATCAGCAGGCAAGCCCTGCCGTGGCACAGACCATGTCCGGCAGCTCAGTCAGCCGGTCAAAACCGAGCTCAGTCCTCCGTTGGCGGTCTCCGGGAGTTCTGCCATGCCAGGCAGCTTAATTGGAGCCATTCTCTCCGTCCTTGAGTCCAGGCGCCGTGACTCAGAGTGACCCCTGGTGGGGGTGTGAATTGAACGCGCACACACCAGCTGCACCCTGCATCGCAGAAGGCATCGGGGCATGGAGGGTGGGGGGAGGGGGGGCACCCCAGAGAGCGGAGCCTTCATGTCACAGTGTGATGAATGAATGAGAGTTTAGGATAATGAACAAAGTAAAACAATAATATTCTTCATACATAATTTAATCATTCTATCTGATAAAGCAATTTGGTTTGAATGGGATCTCTATGAAATTATTAGTTATTTGGTAACTTTTTATTTTGATGAGCATGACTGTTTTGTAAAAAGTGCACAACAATAAGTGAAAAAGTGTATCAGGGTATGTCTGAATAGCATCAGGGTGACTGTGTTTGAATGGAGTCAGCGTGACTGTGTTTGAATGGAGTCAGCATGACTGTGTTTGAATGGAGTCAGCGTGACTGTGTCAAAGCAGCATCAGCGTGACCGTGTTAAAATGGCATCATGGGTGACAATGTTTAAATGGAGTCGGGTGACTGTGATAAAATGGCGTCAGGGTGACTGTGAGGAAACAGCGTCAGGGTGACTGTGTTAAAAAGGCATCTGGGTGACTGTGATAAAATGGCGTCAGGGTGACTGTGAGGAAACAGCGTCAGGGTGACTGTGTTAAAAAGGCATCTGGGTGACTGTGATAAAATGGCGTCAGGGTGACTGTGAGGAAACAGCGTCAGGGTGACTGTGTTAAAAAGGCATCTGGGTGACTGTGATAAAATGGCGTCAGGGTGACTGTGAGGAAACAGCGTCAGGGTGACTGTGATAAAAAGGCATCTGGGTGACTGTGAGAAAACAGCGTCAGGGTGACTGTGTTAAAAAGGCATCTGGGTGACTGTGATAAAACACTGTTAGGATCACTGTGTTAAGAGTCAGAGTGACTGGGTGTTTCCAGTGGCATAGCTGCAGTCTTACACAGATTAATTAACGTCATGATCAGAGCAGTAATTACATAAAAACCTTTCACAACAGACTGACAAATTGATCTGTCTCGCATGATGACTACTCCCCCCCCCCGCCCCGCGCACAAATGTGTGCCCCCACCCCCTCATTAATCTGTCCTTCAGTCCATCTCTGTGTCATGGCAGAATCTCACTGCAGGGCTCTTGCTTTGGTAAACCTGTAATAAGCTGCCCACCCCCTGGTTTTATCTCCACTGTTCGCCGTCTCTGAATTCGCACTCGTTAATCCACCTTCCAGCCAGACCTCCAGGGGCATTGTAAGGCTTCACACACATCACACACATTCACATCACGGACAAGTTCACATCACATGCACATTCACATCAGGCGTATGTTGACATCACACACATTCACATCATGGACAAGTTCACATGCACATTCACATCAGGCGTATGTGGACATCACACACACATTCACATGCACATCAGACGTATGTTGACATCACACACACATTCACATCACGGACAAGTTCACATCACATGCACATTCACATCAGGCGTATTTTGACATCACACACATTCACATCACGGACAAGTGCACATCACATGCACATTCACATCAGGCGTATGTTGACATCACACACATTCACATCACGGACAAGTTCACATCACATGCACATTCACATCAGGCGTATTTTGACATCACACACATTCACATCACGGACAAGTGCACATCACATGCACATTCACATCAGGCGTATGTTGACATCACGCACACATTCACATCACAGACAGGTTCACATCAGACGTATGTTGACATCACGCACACATTCACGCCACACACACACATTCACGCCACACACACACACATTCACATCACACACATGTTCACATAACCAGTCCAGAAGTGACTTGTCAAATAAGGTAATCACATTTTGGCTTGTTTTCCCAACAAATAGCTTTGATGGTGACTGTCGGTTTGGTTAATGCATACTGGAAATGCGAACCGCTAATTGCATATTGTCCCCTGCTGGGGAGGAGTGACACGACGGGTGGCCTGAGCAAGACCATTGCCAGTGTGCAGTGTGGGACCTCCGTCAGATGGGGCCGTCAACACGTGGGGCTGCCAAGGAGTGGGCTGGCTTTCTGGTGACCGAGGCTGGAACCAGTGGGTTGCTGTGGGTTCCAGTCGTGATGCTAATTTCCGGCAATTTGTTTCCAGGCTGGAGATTGACTCAGTGATTGATTGGCCAGTGAACTGAGGATTTTTTCGCCCGGGTTGGAGAATAGAGAAGACCAGAGAGCTGCTGCTCTCATGGTGTTCTGTGGGGGTGTCGCTGATGGCTCTCTCTCTCTCCCCACCCCCCCCCCCTCTCTCTTTCAGGTATATGGGCATTTTCGGTGTCTGAGCTAGCCATCCCGGGCGCCGAAGTGGGCCGCATCTCGGCAACAGATGCCGACCTCGGGGACAATGCCAAGCTAGAATATACCATCTTAGAAGGAGAGACGGGGGACACCTTCAACATCACCGGGCAGGACCAAGAGGCTGTGATCCTCCTGAACAAGGTGAGAAGCTCTGTGTTTATATGTGACTGATTATGTGTCTGATTCTGTGTGTTTGTTTGTGTGTGTGTGTGTGTGTGAGAGAGAGAGAGAGAGAGAGAGAGTGAGTGTGCATGTGCGTGTGCGTGTACGTGTGTATGTGCGTGTGTGCTAATAATAGCAATAATAGCAATGAGATGCAATAGAAGGGCAACTGGAACATGGAAAACCGAAAAAGGAATGTGGAATTTCAACCCAGTTGTCTTTATATAAAAAGGGTAGAGCACTACTATATTTATAATAAACAGAATCTGCAAGATAATAGATTTACACATAGATTCACAACATAAATCAAGGAGTGTTCCGTGGTGCCCTTGAGGAAGACCTTAACCTGGATTTCAGCAGTAAATATCCCACTTTATAAATAGATACAGTCTAAAATTGTAAGCCAGTAATTTGGACAAAAAAATGAAATTCAGAAAATTAATAACAACAGTCAATAGTGTTTGCTCAGAAATGTACACAGGCATCACGGTGTTCAGAGTAAATCAGTTAGAAATGAAAAGACAACAGACGACCCCTCAGAGGCACTGGGGGGTGGGGGGCGGGGTGGCGTGTTTCAACCTCACTTTCTGTCTCTCGTAGACAGGCCCTCCCCAGGTGCTGGCGGAATTTAGAGGTTCAACACCGGTGCTCAGAGACGGAGGACTCACTCGGAGCAGGAAGGGGGGCAGGGAGGGGTACCCAGAGGGTCTGTGGGAGGTAGACTAGGTGGGAGGGGGGAACTGATAGGTATTCGCCATGGTTACGCTGGGGAGACACATATCAGAGGCTGTCAGACGTCTCATGGGAGAAAGTCACCACGCCACGGGGTTAACGCTGATTTCGGCGAGGTGCGGGTGGAGCTGGGTATTTTTTACACACGTCTGTGGAAAACTCCTGAAGTACGCCCCCCCCCCTTTTCCCCCAGCATCTGAGTAACACCTTTAATGTGACTGTTGCTTAGAGCCGATGCCCTAACGGGTTGTTTAGCGTGCCGACGTCGCGTGCAGCTTAAAGAGGATGCGGCAGGGTAACGACGGAGGACAGCAGGCCAAAATAAGCAGGTGCCAGACCTTTTTTTGAGAAAACACGAGAAAAATGCAACCCCTGAAGCTGTAAAAAAAAAAAAAAAAAGTCCTGAATCCTGTCAGGGAAAAAAAAAAAGATTAATTTATCCCTTGCGAGCTCAGTTGGCATTTGCAGGCGGGATGGAGTTTGGGAGACGGAAGGGGGGGGGGGGGGGAGAGGATAGACTGTCTGAGGCTTGTCCAGCCAGTCTGCGGGAGGATCTGCATGTCTGTGCAGCGGTGGAGGTTGCTGGCTAAAAATATTGAGCAGCTAAGAAGGTAAAACATTATGTAACATTACAATAGCTAATTTTGCCGAAGACAAGACAAAATGTGCTTGTAAATGGCAATAAAATTTTAGCAATGATTTATTTATTTGATCATTTAATCTCAAAAATAGAGGAGGTACTATCTGCTGCACCTCTCCGTACCAGTCGCTTCTGCTCTGCGTGTGTGTGTGTGTGTGTGTGTGTGTGTCTGTGTGTGTGTGTGTGTGTGTGTGCGTGTGCGCCTGCCTGTCCACGTGCCATCCCCTTTGCCCTGACAGCCCAGCCAGGGTGGTGAGGAGTGTTTCAACAAGATTTGGCTGAAGGCAAAGAAGAGAATGCCAAGGTGAGGGATTGATGGAGGAGGCTGTGATGTGGGGTGGGGGGTGGCTTGAGCAGGACCTGGGCTCTGAGGGGAGAATCAGAGATGGCCAGACCGAGGGAGTGAGGGATAGTGATGAAGTCACAGAGAGTGAAGTGTTTATTTGTTATTCAGTATTTGTCTCTTGTACGTCAATTATATATACGATCTACATTATGTATTAGCATAATTTGAACTTGTTTATGTCCTACCGATGAATGTCATATGAAGTTGAATCTGGAATTAGGCGAGAGAGCATCAGTTTTAGAGAGAGGGAGAGAGAGGGGGGGGAGGACGGACAAAATGCACCGAATGAGTTGGAAGGAAAACAAACGAAAATTTCCCCCAAATGAATGAGCCGCACACCGTCTCTGCTTTGTTGGTATGCCGTGAACGTAACCACATTAGCTCAAAAGAACACTCGTCCCTAATTAAAAATTTAAATCCAATGCAGTTTCACAAAAGCAAACATTTCACAGTAACAAAAAAAAACGGCGTGGACCATTATCTGAGCGCCCGTATGGATGTGGCACAACGCCTTGCTGCTGGGACCCCGCTATGTTACCGACGTTTGTCTGCAATTATCGCGCGGCGCAGAGCCTACGTGGACACCATGTGCGGCTCGCTTCTGCGGGGGGGGGGGATTTCACGTGCAGGGAACCCTGGAGCAACTAACCGAAGACACAAAAGACGTCGCTCTAATGGAATTGAAATAAAAACTGGAAATTAGCAGCAAACTTCTGCCTTTGTTTCTGCATCTTATGAATATGTACATCTTAGAAATCGCTGTGTGGTATTTCTTTATGCTGCGATGCACTCTTCTGTCTCAGAAGCCAGGGTATTCTTCTCATTGGGCTGATTAGTTCACAAATAAAAAAGCATTTAAAGACAGACGGCATGGCGGCGGGAGAATAGACATATTTCCAGTGGAAGTGCTCGTTGTCAGTGTAAATCCCCTTCACAAGCCTATTAGCACTTTCGTAACCGAAGGCTGCACTTTCTACACGCCAAAAAAAAAAAAAAAAAGATTAATTCCGCTGCTAGCTCTCCGAGTTGCCTCCGAAATTTCCACTCAGACATAATGGGCCGCGTGTGAGGCAGCGAAAGGCTCCAGACTTGTGGAAGGGGGAGCCGGGGCCTGACGGAGCTGGGGGGGGCAGCTCTGGGCACAGAGAGGAGCCCCTGTCATTGCTGCTTTGGTGACAGGTGGAGGGTTTTGGGTGGGGGCAGTCGGGCTGTGCGACCGAGCAGCCAGTAATCGACTCCGCTCACCCGGAGAGAGAAGCGCTCTAGCAGGTCGGCTAATCTTATCTCTCCCGTGATGCTGTCAACTCGTCTCTGACCACACGGGCCCGATGTGCGGGTGGGTGGAGGTGCTGGTGATGTTAGTGGTTTTGGGGGGGGGGGGGGGTGAAGCCTCTGCTGAGCACAGACCCGGCTCTCCGCTCTTTGTGTCCAGAACCCCCCCCCCATCCCTACACTCACCACCTGTTCTTGACTAATGGATGCAGTGTGACTATCTGGGCCGTTTTAAATAAGTAACAGAGCAGGGGGGGGGGGTGGTTGTTCATGACACCAGGGAGGAAGAGAAATGGAGTTTCACGACGCTCTGTCGATTTGGGACTCGCTGGTGGCGGGGGTGTGGGGGGGGGCTCCTCAGGTATGCATTTCCTATGGCATACCGCTCTCTTGAGGTCATGCTATTAATTAGCACTGGTACCAAGAGCCTTTTCACATCCCTGGGCATCCTTTGTCCTGCCTACAGGTCAAAGGTCACTGTATTAGCCACTAGTAGCCAGTACAGTTCGTATTATACCCACCTCTGCCTCATCTCTGACGGCTAGCTGCTATACCACTGTTGCTGATCCACAGGCCTCTGCGATGCTGCCACCTGCTGGTGGCCCTCCAGCAGCACAGGCAGTGCTTTTGTATCCCAGGCTTTATTAAGGATGGGATAATGTGATGAGCTTTAGGCTGCAGGGGGTGGGGGCTTTGTCAAAGCTGGAATGAAGCCATGAAGCCATTAATCATGTTTTTTTTTTTTTTTAAAAAGGGGGGCATCGGAGCATTCTCAGTGAGGGGCCGGTGATGTCATCGCGGTCAGGTGCAGAGATCTGTGGGATTAGCTCTGCGTCTGGCACTCCTGGCTTTAACCTGTGTGCTCTGGGGTTTTTTTTAGCTCATTGGACGCTATATTTCGCTCAGGGTTACATTCCAGCCAGTTTATATACAGCTGATACAATAATTATGTAGCATCCCGGTAATGAACTAATCAGTGTGTTCCTGGACGTCTTTGTCTCCCAGCTCTGCTCTCCGTTCCAGGTGCACTCCTTTACTGCCGTTTGCTGAGCTCAGGAAGTAATCATATTTTTTTCTTCGATCCAGTGTTTTATGTCAAGGAAAAAAAAAAACCTATTTTTTTGGAAAGTGAAAGGGTTTCAGTATGCTAAGACCACTCTATGCTCGAGATACTGCATCAGTGCACTTTTACTAAGAACTAAAAACACTTTGTATATGACAGAGTCCTAAGAAAAGTATGCTATTACAAGTGCCCTACATAAAATACTCTAAAAGTTTTAAAAGATGGAAATGAAATTAAAATAATCCTTAAAAAGTTACCAGTACACCAAACTGTTGGATATTGTCGCAAAAAAGCACTGCAAACTGTCACGCAGTGTTTATTTATCATATATTAAAATCAGCGCTTTCATCCATATTTTTGAACTGTGGTGTCAATAAGAGAAAATGCCAGCAGAGTGATGAAATGCAGCCGCGCTGCTTTAATTGTGACCTCCGTGCCTGCATTCGCTCGTTTTGTGACTCTTACCGGGGATCGTTTATGGGAGCGGGGTGGGGGGGCGGTTTGGGTCGAGCACGTGAGTGGGAAGGCAAAGAGCGAGACTCTAGTGAGCCGCGGGGTTCTGATTACTGCACTCCTCTGTCCGCGCTTCCATGTAATCCACCTCAATGCCACCTCTTGTCTAAGCCATTTACGCAGCTGCGCGTTGCGCTGGTGCCGAACGGGTTAAACACGAGGGGGTCCTTTCCAGATGTGACCCGACGACCTTCAGGTTACGCGTCTGATGTTACCCAACCGGCTGCATCCGGAAAGGTATGACGTTTCCCTCCCTGCTGCCCCCCCCCCCCTCGTACCCCAGCCCCAGGGGCCACTGGGGACCCCAGGCCACTGTCTGGATGCTCGTTTTCCTTCGTTGGTTGTAGTGTTTACAAACATCTTGAAGTGGATGCGGGGTGCTGTTCTCTCCGGGGCGATGGAGAGACAGATTACTCTTCTCGCCGACTTTGGATTTGTTCATACATTAAATCTCAGCGCCATATGGAAGCATGCAAATGTTTATAAAGCGTGTGGGATGGCATCGGGTGTGCAGAGACCCCTGAAGTGCGCCTGAGCCCGTGGCCCGACCCACTAGAACTCCCAGTCACATGCTGCACTGTGAGGTCTAATAAACCATGTCTCATTGCACTACCCACCCCAGAGCTGGATTGCATCCCCCCCCCCCCCCCCAATATGTCAATGGTTTCCTTTCTCTCACAGGCTCAGCCTCCTCCACCCCCCCCCCCGCCCAGGCGTCTAGCGTCAAGCGCCGCTGAGTCCGAGGATTCGGCAAAAAGGCTCATTTAACCACGCCGACCGTGGGGGCTCGGCTGTGCGAGCGGTAACCTGGGAAACTGAAACGCATGCATTAGCTTTTAAACAGGATCCGGACCGCTGGGGCTGCGGGGGAATGCTCACTGCTATCTGCAGTGTTTATAAAACGATGATCCAGAACGGCCGGAGCATCCGTATTTACATTCAAAACTGCTAAAACCCACATATTAGCCAATTGGACCGATGAAAGTAATCGGCCTGTTTTACGGAGTCAAACTCTCAGATCCCAGCCCTTTTGGACCTGCGGGAGGGGACGGGCAGATATATGTGCTATGAAAGTCCAGGAGGGCGCGGTTCTGTAGGTCACATTGGATCGAGCTGCACGGTGAGCTCAAGATGACAACGTACTTTTTCTCCACAAGGTCGCCTCAGCACTGAGGGTTCTTGTGACCCACCTCTTCCCTCATCTCGCTCAGCCTGGACCGGTAATTATTTTTTTGATTCACGGTACAAGCCCGGCCCTGAGGTTCGGACCCTTGGCGAGGTCGTCGGCAGAAAAGGTTGCCCTGTCTGCAAGTCAGACGAAGGAAATCATGCTGCTGAAGCAATCATCTTTTTATTATTATTCCAGAAACATCTGGAACTGAAGGTAAAGGGGCAAGGTGACACACGTTGAAATTACAGACTCATAAATATCAACAGGTCCCATTTTGGTAGGAGGAATGTGATTTTGGAAACGCATATTGAGACAAGCTGATGCAGGAACGCCAGTTATGGTCAGTCTCGGAATGTAGGACTGAGCGGATTGGAGGAGGTGTAGGGGATGTACCAGGTAGGGCCGGCCCAAATTGAAATGCAAGCCCACGGCCCACAGAGATTTGTCAAGTAGCACTGCGAGCACCAGGGGAAATATCAGACAATGAATTTGGAGCAGAACTCGTTCTTCCGAAGCCCATTGTTTGTCAGGAAGCTAAATTGGCCAATTAACTCCAGAGAATGTTTCAGCTGGCACCATTCACTGTTATGACAGGACCTATCCATGTTTGGAGAGATGAGCTCTGTGTAAAGCAGTCTCTAGGCTGGTGATAATGACCACTGAGGCCCTCTGGGGGGGCAGCACTCTAAGATCAGAGCGACATGATGTCACACACAGCCAGCAGGGAGGGGTGGCCCTCGGTAGGACCTCACGGCGTGATGAAACCTGTCCACAGCGACACGTCAGTTGGCAAGGTGCAGTGCTGCTTGGATCACGTTGCACGGTACCCAACAAGCCAGGGAAAGCTGTTTGCAAGCCTGCCTCCTGTGGAAGTGGCATTCCCAGAGTGTTGAGAGGCCTGGGCAGTTCAGGCCATGGCTGTCAGCTCTGTGGGGCGGCGAAGGTCACCTTCTCGCATTGTGACCTAGGCGATTTCCCTCACACCCTCCTGTTGAGGCCATTTTTTTTCTCAAATACTCCTCATTCATTTCAGTATTTTATGGAAAACAGCTTATATGCATTTTTATGCACCCTCAGTTATGTATACAGTTTTATTAAGTAATCAATTTGAGGTTTCAGATTTTAGGTTATTTGCCGGATTTCTCTGAAAGGGGTAATTTCATACAAATTATCACAGAGCATTCACCAGACGACCACACTAGAAGCGTAAAATCCGCTCTTTTGTCCGTATTTTTGAACCCTTGTGTCAATAACAGGAAATTAACGCAGGAGTGCATGCAGGGCTTATAATGCGACAGCAGCTTCGTGACTCGCAGCGGGGTGACTCATGGGGAGGGGGGTTTGGGGGGAGCGAGAATGGGAAGGTGAAGAGTGAGGCACCGGTGAGTGCCTGTGGATGTGTGTAATCCTCTGGGGGGGGGGGGGGTGACCCAGGGGCAGGCATGGAGAGAGAGGCTGATGAGTGTGTGCTTGCAGTGTAAGTGACATTTCTGCTCCACAGACAGATTGTCTCTCTCTGCCTCTAATGGGATCCTGTTAGAAGGAACCTTTCTGCCTCGTTCTGTCTATAAAGCTGTATCTCTCTCTCCTTCTTTCTCACTCTCCGTCTCTCTCTCTCTCTCTCTCTCTCTGTCTCTCTATCTGTCGCTGTCGCTCTCTCAGATCGGCTTACATTTATTAGTATTGTGTCATTTCTGGTAAATCAACGTTTGCTGAATTTTCCCCATATGAATTTTGACATTTTTTCCCACACGTTAATCTTATCTCAAATATTATATAGTATATATACAAACACGCACACACAATCACCCCGCGATAAACGGCTGGGGGAGGGATGAATGATAGCTAAGAGTAAAATGAAGATTAAAAAGCAGCAGACAGCAAATAATGATGATATTGGTACTGAGAAAATATGACCCCATTAAAAAGGTATATATACATAGTGCACGATGACTCGCGGTTGATTGTACTGTAACCAACCTCCTAAATTAAGTAGTCTGAGGACGGGTTGTTTAACAGTTTTAACATATAAAGAGGCAAGGGTAAGTTCTAAAATCATGTTGTTTAAGGAGCTCTGAAATATTCAGAGCCCAATACAACTTATTTATTCCTATAAATATAAATGTATTCCTTTACCTCTAAAATGCGGGCGCTACGCCTCAACCTACCCGCGTCAGGGAGCCTCTTCGGGGCGTCCGGCCGACCGCCGACATCGGCGCCTCCGGAAAGACTGCCTTGGGGCTCTGGGACTGTCCGCTTGCCTCCTGTTTATTATTAATATAATTAATGTGGTTAATATTTAAACTGGTCAAGTGTTTAAATAAGGATTTCCCATTATTCTGTTTCAAAACCAGGTGAACTTTGATTTGGTCCGTGTCCGCAAGTGCTAATGCAGCTAGCGGAGCTTAAGGTTACGGTGATTAAAGTTACAATAAAGAAACGTATATGCCAGCTACCAGAGAAAACGCCTCCATATTTCCCATACGTGTTATGGATTTTTACGTCTTTCAAATAAAGTCATTAACCTAACTTTAATTACTTAGCTGTTTAGCTGTTGTTTATTTGCCGCTGTACCGATAGAGGGAGACGCGAAGGAGCCGTGACGCGGTGTCCCTGGAACAGCCGGGTGACAGCCGGAACAGACGCCCTTGTGATCACTGGCTGCTTCTGGCAGCCGGGAGGACGGATCCGACTCGGTGCGGGATCAACAGATTCCTGCCGCTGACATCCGCCTTTGTCCCCTGTCATCCTGTTTAGGATGACTGGAATTTTCTAATGAAACTCAGCAGACGTTGCGAATACAATCTCCCCCTTCTGCCACTCTCCCCATAAGTAGGCCTACATTACATCTTGTAGAATAAACAGGTGTTTCTAGGACGTTCTGCTTTTACTTGAAAAATGTTTTTGTGTGGAAAGAACATCATTCCGAGGATCCTGTTTAGGTTCCTGTCTGCAAACCTCAATATTATGAGCTAGGAGGATTTTTCCCTTGACATAACAATAATGGTTTTGAAACACAGAACAGGATGTCTGCTCTTTTATGTTGGATGAATATGGGCTGTAAAATTTTGAGAGTGTTTCTCAGACATATTTAGCTGGGCACATAATGAATTGATGCTTTTTTACCATTTGCACAAGTACATTGGAATTGTGTAGATTTTCACGTATCCCACTTTGCTGTCCTTTGAGACATGCATATATGTATGTGCAGTTGAGAGTGAATCTTGGGGTGAGAGCATAGTGCCAGGTCATTTATCCAGCATCTCTGGAGCATTTTTTTTGGGGGGGGGGCGGATTTAGCTCCTTGCTTGTGTGTCCAACGGAGGTGTGACTATTCTGCTGAGTATTTGAACCAGCAACCTTCTGAAAATACAGAATGCACCTGTCATGACCTGCTCATATGATCCTTCCGTGTGCCACTCCCCCCTCATTACCTCGTGTGAATTCCTGATTGTATTCAGCTGTTTCGTGTTATTTCTGAGTAGTCCTGTGTATTTAAGTCCGCGTTCAAGTCTGTTTCCCCAGTCTGGTCATTGACGTTGTATACCGTGAGTACCCTGGCTTGTTGATTCTGCCGTAATAAACCCTGTTTCCTGGATTCCTGTCAGCCTGATCCTGATTCCCCGCTCCCTGCTCGCTCGCCCGACACGCGATCATAACATATATGCCAGGTGTGCCCCAGCCTTGTCCCCAGTGCTGCCTGGAATAGATTCCAGCATCCCGTTACACTGTCCAAGTAATTGCAAGATGGATATGGGTGGATGTATGACCATATTACCCTGTATATGCGGGCACTCACATTTGTTCCTCTCTCCTCTCCCACTCTCAGGCTGTGGACTACGAGAGCCGCAGCTCCTACTCCTTCTCTGTGGAGGTGCTAAACCCCACCGTGGATCCTCGCTTCCTGCGGCGGGGGCCCTTCAAGGACCGGGCGTCGGTGAGAGTGGTGGTGCTGGATGCCGACGAACCTCCACGCTTCTCTCGGGCCCGCTACCGCCTGGACGTGTCAGAGAACTGCCCGTCCTCTTGCACCGTGGGCCGGGTCAGCGCCGTGGACCCTGACACAGGGCTGAGCAGCAACATCAGGTGTGGTGTGGTCCTTCACCGGGGCGGGGCTCAGTGGTGGAGGTACAGGAGGGTTTTGGGTGGCGCTGATTCTTCTTGCAGAAGCCAAACAGGTCGCTTGGCACAGTTGACAAACTGATGGATGTGCAGTTTGGTGACTTCACAGTTTGGCTGCAGTTTGCTTTCAGTTCCCTGATATGCTGGAGGTCTCTTCTGTCCTGAAGAGGAGCTGAATATTGTGTCTTCTGTTCTGCTGCCAGTCTCTGATTTCCATATATTTTCTTCTCTACTAGTGTTGGTATTCCCCCCCGCACCCCCACCCTATTATGTCACTTTATAAAGAAGTGTGGCCATTGGCCGGTGACAATGCGGGCAGCCAATAATACGAACAGGGAGCCAGGAAAGGAGTGAGCCTTCGGTGCATTCAGGGCGATGTTATTATTGTGAACAATGGTGTTCAGCTGGAACGAGGGGAAACTCTGAATGTGAATGATCATCGGCTTGCCTAGTGTGTGTTTTAAAATGCCTCTTTGAATCGCTTCGGTGAAATATCAGCCTGAGAAAGCGGTGAATGATGCACAGCTCCTCAAGTGGCTTCGGGTAAAAACATTGTCCACAGAACAAGAGCAATAATAATGATGATGATAATAATAACCATGTCGTTCCATTTTTTATTAGGTACTCCATCGACCCCCAGTCGGACCCTGAGGCCCTGTTCCGCATCGCCCCCGACAGTGGACTCATCACCACGGCGATGGAGCTGGACCGCGAGCACGAGCAGTGGCATAACATCACCATCATCGCCACGCAGAGAGGTCAGAGGTCACCCCGGCATCAGCATGATGCCTCTCGCCCAGTCGCTCTGCCCTGAATTTTCAGCCCCATGTGTGAGGGATCTGCTGCCACTTGTAGTAGCAGGACAGTAGTAGTAAAACCGTACTTTAAAATTAGTACAGGTTTAGTAATAGTACAGTACTTAGAATTAATACTGGTTTAGTGATAGCACAGTACTCAGAATTAGCTCAGGTATAGTGATAATACAATACTCATATAATACTCATATTAGTACATGTTTAGTGGTAGGGCCATACTTCATAATTAGAGCAGGTATAGTGGTAGTACAGCACTTCAGAATTAGTACAGGTTTAGGGGTAGTTCAGCACACAGAATTAGTACAAGTTTAGTAGTAGTACAGTATTTTCATACCAGTAATTTTGTAGTGCTAGTGAAACTCATAGTTATGGTAGGACAGTATTTTGCAGAATAATATTACCTATAATACATTATGTGCATATACATAAAAGAGTTGTGATTAGGTCAAAGGTCATGTTTCTGCCAGTCCGCATAGGACGCGGGTGTGAGGTCTTCAGTCCTGCAGCGGGAATCCCGATTACATGGGGGACCTCGGTCCTTGCTGAGGTTGTGCCCCCGTGACACGGCTGTTGTTGCTCATCCCAGACAGCCCCACCCAGGTATCCAGGGTGGTAGTTGCCATAGAGACCTTGGACGTGAACGACAACGCCCCCGAGTTGGACAGACAGTACACCACGGCTATGTGTGACTCCGCTGCTGTGGGCCAGGTCAGCGAGGACCGGCGCCTGGTGTCCTGCTTTCTGTTTCGTGTCCACGGCTTTGTGTGTGACTGCATGCTAGCCGTCCACTCTATGTACCTCATATGCCACGTCAACCCCTATAGGCTATTGCCTGCTTGCACTACAGGAACCGTATATATAGCTTAACATCTTTCCAGAAATGGATAAAACAAACAAGGTATATACACAGGGCATATACTCGTTTATACACATTTAGCACAGTTGATGAAGCTTTTATGTTGCTTGTAGGTTCACAATATTACACAGGAAGGCATCTTCAGGTGTCCTCACCTTTCTCTGGCACATCAGCTTCTTCTCTAACAGCGATGGAATAAAAACGCGTGATTCACAGCGACTCTCTGACACGCCTGCCTGCCCCGTAAAAATTACGAACCGCTTCTGCTGAACACTGAGATCTTGAGCAACATTTTATTCATTTGCCGAAGACCTAAATCTGCCTGGAATTTAAAGAACAGCTCAGAGAGATAAAATTCAATCTTCAAATGGCGTACTTGATCTGGAATTGCATTTTCCCCTTTTTCATCAAGTGTATTAATTATATTATTATCGATTGTCAGCTAGACCTCACCATAGCTATATGTGGATACAGGGCCAAGGTTCCTCAGGGTTTAGTACCGGGGCATCATACAAAGGGTTTCTTCTGTGTTTCACATTTCCTGCTAGCATCTTTCTGTCTTTTAAATGACTTTGTTCCTGCCCTTCTCTGTCTTCCTCCCCTTTTTGTTTACTCTCAGGTGGTTCAGGTGCTACGTGCGATCGATAAAGACAAAGGAGGGAACGACACCGCTGTTCACTTTAGCATCGCTCCTGAGTCCAGCGCAGCCCTGAACTTTTCCGTCAGGGAGAGTGGCGGTACGTGCCTTTCATCTCCTTCTGTGTGTGTGCTTGTGCCCGCCCCTGCATCAGCCTATCTCATCATTTTCCTTACGACCGGACCTCGAGGTCACAGAAGAGGAATATTTTCTCAACTCAAAGCCTAAGTTGGAGGTAATCACCTTCAGACTGGACAAATTGGCAGGAAACGTAGACTGATGCAAACCCTGAGACAGTCAGGATCTGAAGAAGCCCACCTTGGGGGGGCGGAGTTGGGGGGGGGCGGGTGGGTGGTTGGGAAGGTTTGCAAAAGCTACTGTGAGAAGCACTGTTCCTCAGGTCTTCCTCAGAGGCAGGATATGCTGCTTAACTTCCCTTTATTGCCAAAAATGTGGCAGCAGCGAATGACAACTTACCGGCACGAGTCAAAATGTCAGGACCTCCAGGCAGAAATCTCCCAGCAACACTGCAGAAATGGAAAGAGGAGTGCCACTGCTGTGATGCTAAAGATGCTCCGCTATCCCGGAGAGTTCCGTGGTGCTGAAGCCGCTCCGCTCTTCGCCGGATCCTCCTCGGCTCTCTCCGTGGTGCTGAAGGCTCTCCGCTCTTCGCCGGATCCTCCTCGGCTCCCTCCGTGGTGCTGAAGGCTCTCCGGTCTTTGCAGGACCCTCCTCGGCTCTCTCCGTGGTGCTGAAGCCGCTCCGCTCTTCGCCGGATCCTCCTCGGCTCTCTCCGTGGTGCTGAAGCTGCTCCGGTCTTTGCAGGACCCACCTCGGCCCTCTGCATAGTGCTGAAGACTCTCTGTTATTCTAGAGAGTTTTGTGGTGTGATGCTCCGTGGTGAGTTTCCCAAAAGGTCCTGTTACCACCTCACATAGCTGGACCCATTCAGTTGCATGGTTCCAACTATGTAAGTTGCTTTTGGGAAACACACAACTGGTCTTCATAGGGTTCCTTCATAGGGTTCCTTCATAGGGTTCCTCGACTCTCTCCATGGTGCTAAAGACTCTGTTATTCCAGAGAGTTCCACGATGCATCATATATCCAGGTTGATCTGGCATGTCCGCATAATCAATAAGGGTCTCTGTGCTCTCCAAGCTGGAAGTTTTAGTACAATGGCATTGTGGTTTGGGATGAATATTTTTAAGGATCAATGTATTTATTATTGTTATCTGAATAGGACTGTTCAGCTCTACGTTTGGGGATATGCATGCATGGAGTTTGCCTGTTTTCCCTGTGTTTTCCATGGGTTTCGTCCCAGAGTACAAAAGCATGATGTTAGGTGAACTCAGTGGTTTATACAGGGGTGGGGCCACAGGGAAAGCTAAAAGCTGATTGGTCCCAAGAGGGCACCCTCAACTGTCACTCACCAAAATCAAAACATTATTTGTTTCACATAAGGTTGGGCCCCGTACTGCCCCCCACCTTAAAAAACCCTAGAATTGAAATGGTGTTTTGTTCACCCATAGTGTGTGTGCCCCGCCTTCCTGTCCTGCCTCTTGCAATGTGTTTCCTGAGAGGGGGTCCTGGCTCACAGTGACCCTGAACTGGATGAGCAGCTATGGAAGATGGATGGATGGATTTTTTTATAGGGGCACATTAACATATTGATAAAACTTTAGCTCTTGTGGATGTCCTCTTCTAATCCTTTGAAAGCAATTTTCCTCTTTTCTGTCGAACTTGCCCTTTGTCTCTTAGGTCCCACTGCCAGCCTTGTGCTCCTCTCCCCACTGATACCCCTGTCTCGCTCGGCATCTTCCCCATTCACACTGCAAGTGCCCCTGGTCCTGAAAGACAGTTTCTCGGGTCTGACCAGTACTGGGACAGTCACCGTGTCCATTTGCCCTTGCCTGAGGGGGGGTGCTAGAGCTGGTGAGAAAGAAGGTCAAACAGAGGGTGAGTGGGAAAGAGAGACGGTGTGTCTACCAATGGCGTCCTCCTCTTCATCACCTGGACTCAGCACTGCCGCCCTGCTGGCCATCCTTGCCTGCGTCGCTACACTACTGGGTAAGACTTGCCTTTCTGCATGCCTGCACATTTCTGCTCTGTAAAAATTAATATTAATGGTTCGGCTTCAGGCGGGAAAATAATTTTTATTCAACCCAATGCCTTTCTTCAGGGAATATGGTTCTAATTTATTTATTGTAAGGTTGTAACCTTATTAAAAAAAAAAAAAGAAAAGAAAAATAAAGTTTAAAATTCAGAAACATTTAAATGCAAGCTAAATTCGGGCTCATTACTCTCCTCAGTGGAGACGCGCGTGTTCAGTGTTCCTGCTCTCACCTCAATAATCTCGCTCTTCTCCTCTCCCCATATCTCGTAGCGGTCAGTGCGCTCTCGCTGTCCCTGCGCAGGCAGAAGCGTGACTCGCTGTCGCCCCTGGAGGAGGACGATGTGCGAGAGAACATCATCACCTACGATGACGAGGGCGGCGGAGAGGCCGACACGGCTGCCTTCGACATCGCTGCACTGCAGAGCGCCCCCCACAGCTCGTGTCGGGGATATCGCACGCTGGACAGCAGGAACATGTGAGCGTGCTTGGGGATTTTTCAGGAAAACCCTTTTTTTTATCGGCTTGCGGGGGAGGGGGGTATGATCATCCCCTCTGTCTCTGCAGACGTTACACCCAGCAGGTCCAGGACAATGCCCCAGGGTACCGCTGGACCTCGAAGGCGGGCCTGGAGTCGCAGTACCCCAGTGGTGCCGCCCCACTGTACGGACGCCTCTGCTACAGCAGCCACACGCTGCCCGCCCTGCGCCACTCCCGCAGCGTCTTCGAGACGGGTCTGGGCCTTGCTGAACTGCCGTGCCGCTACCCCGCCGGCCCGCTGGACCACTCCCTGGTCATCCAGAACCAGGGCGCCATGAGCGGCGCACAGGATCGCGAGGCCGACGGCAAGGGCGGGGCAGGCGAGGGGGACCCCTGTGCCACCCAGCAGAACCGCAGCCAGAATCTGGACTGGGTGAGGATTCCCGGGTTTTTCAGCCTGCCCCCCTGAACCTGCCCCCTCCTACTGTTTAACCACCTGACAGGCCTCTAATGGAGACGGAGGGAAAGGTGATGAGGAGATGTAACCATTCTGCCTCTCTCTGCCCTCCTCTCTCCTCCACATCCATTCCAGTGCTTCATGAGCTCATTCTAGTGTCCAGTCGGCACGCGTCCTCGCCGTCTGTTCACCTTTATCTCACCTGTTCTCTTGTACCTGTTACCTCTCTTCTGCATCTCTGCTTCCATCTTTACTTTCTCCCTGGCGTCTGTCTCTCCACTGTCCGCTTCTCTGTCCACCGCAGTGGTGCCTCGCCGTCCCATTTACCACCCGCCAGCTGAGTTTGACCCAAGCTGACCCCGGTCCTGCCCCTCCCCCTGCAGGTCCAGTCTGAATCCCTCCCCACGGACCAGACTCTGGTTGTGACTCGGTCCGGCTTATCGGCAGTGACCTCAAAGAGGCTGTCTGGTGCCTGGGCGTGTGACACAGGTGTGCTGACGGGCCATCGCGCCAGGCATGCCAGCCCGTCCCCGAAGCAGGTCGGCACCGGGCCCCCGGGCACCCCCGACTCCCTCGCCTCCACCCCCTCCAACGGAAAGGACTGCAGCGATGGCTTAAGCCGCAGTTCTGGAAGCATCCTGCAGGGGGAGCTGCACAGGGACTACCCCAGCAGTCTGGGCAAGGGTGGGCTGGAGACAGGAAACAGTTTTGTGGTGGCCAGGCCCCCGTTGGAAGGGAGCGTGCCTCTGGGCGGGACTGCTCCTGGGATACTCCGGGAAGGGATGGGATACATACCAAACTGGCGCAACATGGCAGGCTACGTCCTTGGGAGGAGGGATATGATACCCCAGCTGCTGCCAGTCCCAGGGCAAAACAGGGGCATGGTGGGGCAGATGGCTTACAGAGGTGGGTGGGGCACGGAGGTGGGTGTGGGAGGGTCCAGCTCCCTGGCGGTTAGGGTGGGCGAGTTCCTGAAGCTGCGCTTAGCTCAGGTGACCTTTGACCCCGGGCAGCCGCCCTATGACTCGGTGCAAGTGTACGGTCTGGAGGGGGAGGGCTCCCAGGCTGGCTCGCTCAGCTCCCTGGAGAGCGAGGAGGAGGAGAAGGAGGCGGAACCCGACTGGGGCGGAGCTTTGGAGGCGTGGGGGCCTCCCTTCCAGAGGCTGGCTGAGCTCTTCCGGGAGAGGGAGCGAGAGAGGGAGGAAGAGAGGGAGCCGGAAGACGAAGAGCTGGGCAGGAAGGAGGAGGGAGAAAGGGGGCAGAATGCTGGAGGTTCAAGGAGCGAGGGGCACTGAGAAATGGGCAGAGAGGAGGGTGAGTGGTGGAGAAATGAGAGAGAGAGCGAGGGAATGAAGGACACAGAGAACAGCAAGGCACAAAAATAAAGAGGTGGACTCGAGAAAGGGAAATGGAGGATGTGATTGGTATAATTTAAAGCAATAAGTGATCAAAAGCCCTACAGAGAGAACACCAAACATCCCCTATTTACTGTTCAGAGCGGCAGCCATATGAGTGCTATCCGCTCCCCTATGCTTATCATTCCAAACCAACCCTCAAATATGCGGATCCGGCAAAACAAAGCCCCAGGTCAGAGACGCGAGAGGCACTCGTGAGAGTTAGAGAGAGAAAAGAAGGCAGAAGGGGTAAACAAACGAGCAGAACAGACGGAGCTGTTCCTTCCACGCGTTCCGTTTCACAAAGGGGGTTAATCATGTATCTGGCGGACATTTTTGTAAGTGAAGGTTTCATTTCAGAATATCGGTTTCTATCCTAGAGCTTTACAGGTAGCCGCTCGAATGAATCAAACATAAAGCATCGTAATCGGGCGTCAGGGCCCAGGAAACACTGCAGCAACGTCGTTATGCCTCGGGTCTGGCACTAAAGTGGAAGGAAACTGCAACGGTCTTCTATGAAATTTCCTATGATTCTGTGCTTTGTTGATGCTGGTTTTGAGTGTTGTGACAGGTGCTGCTGCCGAATCTCCAGAATTGATAAGAGAGCCGCTAACTCTGATGTGGTTTTTGCCGTTTTCATGGTCATAAAATCATCCTGTCACCAGTCACGCCTTGGTGCAGGGGCCATTGTGTTTCTGGAAGGTTCCACTTCTGTCAGGATAGATATGTTTCACCGTATGTTAATGTTGATCATTCAGGATGACCTTGAATTTGGCGTTGACCTTGAAAGTACGAAGGGTTGGTCCTAAACCATAAAACACATTCAATGCCATAAAAGAACAGAAACCTTCCCTGTGGGACGCAAACACTGGCCTCTATTCTTCTACTCATTAAGTCCTGGCTGAAGCATGACTCATTTTACTTTTTTCCACTGCCCAATAGACCAAGGCCTTTCTTCTTTACACTACACCACTTCACTCGCAAAATTCATTTTGAGCTATAATAAGATATTTATGTACAGCAACATGACCATAGAATCCCCTTTTTTATGAAGCGCTACACAGACTCTGCTGTAACTGCCTGCTCACAGTCATAGATTAACATTTGCAGTCAACTGTTGCTGGTCTCATTTGCGAAGCATCTCATTACTTTATATTTATTTAGCTGGAGCTTTTGTCAAACGTGACATACAAGTGAGGATGAGAGAGAAGAGTTGGCCTGCCCTCGAGAGTGACTGGGTTTAAGGGCCTCGCTCAAGAGCAGTGATATGATTATTCCAGTCATGGGACTTGACCCCACAACCGGATATGGATTCCTAACCCACTACACATCGTCTTCACCATCTCAGTTCCACACACGTGCATCACAGTCAAGCAGAAGGTACTTCCATTCTCCATCAACTCAACTCATGCTGATGACGTCTTTAGACCTCCAAGCCGGTGTCCTCATGGCCACCGGTCACCGTGAAACACTGGCAGGTTGAGCGGTCTTCATCCCTGAAGCTCTTGCCAAACGTGGACCAACAACCAGCCCTCACTCAGAGTTGCTGAGGTCTCCTTTTCTAGCTATGGTAGCATTATAATAAGCATAATGGGATGTTAATTGTTTAATTAACTCAGGAAGCCCAACTGCCTGGGAGCACCTGTTTCCAATATGCTTTGTATCTCTGGTTTACATCACCATAACAGTCGCCTGGATGATCCTCACGTTCTTTGCATGAAATGCTGAAAATGAGCAGGACATGCACCCACACAAATACACATATCAAAGCATACGTACCCTCACTCAAGGATGGGTACAGCAGCCCGAGAGGCTATGCGCCACGTCATGGCAGACATACAAACTGATCAATCAATCAGGAGTAAGGTTTGGAGAAGATCAGTGGGGAATTTCAGTCATCATAAATGCCAGTTTTCACTGATTAGGAAGATTGCAGCAGACAGGTCAATTATGGAGTCCTTTGATTATGTACTGCATCTCCATGGGTGGAAAATGGGTGAAAGTCATGGTAATAACAGTTATTTGATTTACCAAAGCTTTCATATTGATTTGTGTCATTTTTGGTGGACAGGAGGAGCGATTTTCTGGGTGTGATTCGATGGAACAGTTATTAAATCCCCCTGTGTGAAATAACATGGTTCAAAAATGCGATCTGTTATAACTATATAACAGTGTACCTTTTTGTGGCTGTTTGAAGACCATGCTGTCAGTAGGCCTTCCAACCTAAATGGAATCGTGCCATGGTCTCGTATCCAGCGGATGACTCTGCTATTTGGAATGTCGATGAAGGTGATAACGATGATGAAGAATTTTATTTTTAAATGGTGATTTGTGTGTATATATGCACATTACAAATGTAAATATCTTTCATGTCCAATCTGGAAGAAAAAAAGTTTTGTTTTTTTTTTATTTGTAAGGTAAAGGTACCTTTTGTCTTTGACAAGCAAAGAACTTCTGGGGTCTTGACCAAATTGGAATGTACCGAATCTGGACTGACTCAGAGTTTCTCCATCCTGATGAAATCTAGAGCCAATCATTGAGGTTGGTGGCTGGTACTGAGCTCTGGACTGTGTGAACCACTGGACTTTACTAGTCAGTAATCGCAGGCAATATTGAGCATCATGTACCAGAAAGAAGAATTTTGTTTTAGATGTCGAGAGAGATTTTGTTTAGGTCAGTATCTTAGCTTATCTGTAAAAGACCCACTTCTACTCCAGTGTCCAACCAGTTGTGTGTAGATAGAACATCTTCAGCCTGGTCCACCTCATGGACATTGTGAATCTATGGGCATATCTCTGCTCACGCCAACCGGGTCACACCACGGTTCGAGACCCAGGCCCGGGATAGCACTGTGCCCCTGCGTGTGACCTGACCAAATCCTGACCGTGACCACTGTACTGGTGCAAAGCACCTAGGCGGATCCCATGGACTCAAGCTGGAGAATCTCGCCGCTCCGTCAAGCAGTTACATCACTGTTTCTTTTTCCTCTTTTTTGATTAAAGTTTGATTAAAGATGATTTGTTCTGGGGTGCGGTCCCCCCTCAAGCCCCCACCCCCAGGCCAGAGACATTGTCATTTCTTACAGTGGATGCATTCCTGGATAGAGCTTGAGGGGTGTGGGGGGGAGGGGGAGTTGGCTTGCCGTGGTGATAAAAATCCCATCGGTTCACCAGATGCCATTTGTGGGCCACTGTTGGTCTGTGTATTAGTGCGAAAGGCGTCCCCAGAGAATGTGATCACTGCAGAGATGCAGGCACAGGCCACGTGATGAAACAAATTAAAGACACATTGACATTAATGCTCCCTTTCTGTCCGCTGACTCTTTGCACGGTGATGTACGAAACTCTTCATGAGCACAGGTGACAGGTTTTACCATCATATTTTGGGATGTTGGGAAAATTAGGTTGGTTGAGCTATGATTGTTCTAGTACAGTGAACTAGACACACAGATACTGTAGCCGGCATGTCAAACATACACAGAGTCAGTCGCACAGATAGATCTGTCAGGCACAAGGACCAGGAGGCTAACAGGGTTGTCTGTGTGCAGAACATTGGGGTCGAGTTTGGCGAGTGTGCAGTGTCTTTACTAGATGTCCATGCGTGTGCGTGTGCATGTGCGTGTGCGTGTCTTCTTGGATTAGACACAAGCACTGTGTCTCTCGAGTCCATAAATGGAGGCAAACAAAACTAAGGCTTTTTCGGCTCCTTTCAGAGCCGGGATTAATTCATTATTTATCCACTTGATGAATATCTGGCTTACCAGAAGGCACCCCTGTGTGGAATTAATTGCACCGGATGGGGGCGGGGTTGATGATGTGAGATGGAGGGGGGGCGGGGGGGGGGGGCATAAACCATGTTCATCCGAAGGGGCCAGAGCTAGCCTTGAGATTGGTGGTGTGTAAACCTCGAAATGGGTTTGCAGCATTCTCGAATGGCGATATAAACAAGTCCGCCCCCACATCACAGGCCAGCTGTGCAGTTCCTCCTTGCCTGTGATGTTGCTTTGGTGATGTTTAAGGGATGATACATTAATGCATTTAACCGGGTTTGGGATGGGAGGTATTTGCTTAGTAAATAAAGTCTAAACAGAAATGTCTTTATTAACATGCATCATTTTTGGATTTAAAAGATATGATCCACATGAAAGATGGTTCCCTCACACGGGAGAAGCTTTTTGCCTCCTGGAAGCAGGTGGGCCGATTAAATGGAATGCAGGAAATGAACAGCATTACTGTTGGGCGGACGAGTGTAAAATGGGACTTGGGTTTGGCAGTGTCCTCTGCATGGCAAATAAGGTAAGCATGGGTGGATGCGTGTGGCAGGCTGAGCAGTGCCAGGAGACTGGAACCCAATACCCCCCCCCCCCCCCCGGCACACAGCAGACACACGCCTGGCAGGAAGGCAACATTCATGTAAATGCAATTCCCAGGAAGGACGTGAAATTCCTGTCTAGGAGAATATTAATCACGTTGCTCTTCTGCAGTGCCTGAACATAGAGCTGTTGAACCCACAGCCTTCTGGTACCAACATACCAGAACCACAGAAGCTACAGCCAGCTGAGAGGATACTAATGAAAGTGGGACGGCTTTAATTAACGAGCTCCGCGAGCGTGCACTGAATGGCAGGCAGGCAGGCGGTTACAGCAAATTGCGCAAGCAGGGAAGCGGCGGGAGAGGCAGCCTGTGCCCGCCAAGCCGCGCGGACGCCGTTATTTTTATCTAGTGCTGCGGGAGGCCGCGATGGCACAGAGGGATGCCTCAATTTTGGCTGAAATGCCAGATTTACTAAGATCACAACTGACACTTAAACCCCCTTGCCGGCTACCGTGCATATCGACCACGACCACAAGTTTCCACGGGAGCGCACGTGCGGGTCCACGTGAGCCGACCGGTCTTCACTCGCTTTTCAATTTTCATTCATTCCTTCTGTACCGCTGTGGGTTTCCTTCCCCACGTATGCCCCTCCATTTCCCCTGGACTGCTACCTTTCTCTTGGGCTCCATCCTGATTTCCGGCATACTTGACGCTGAAAATTGAATCTTCATTAGCGGTTCGCGTCGACAAGGGATCTTCGAAGTGATGCAAAGAAGCGACGGGGAGAGTAAGAAGGCTGAGAGGAGCCGAGGGCTTGATGGCTGCAGTATTTTGTAACCAGGAGCTGAAAGTTATGAGGATAATGGAAAATGTATGGAAAGCCAAAAATATAGATTTTATGTTAATAGTTATTTTAAATATTTAGAGTAGCCAAATTTATGCTCAGAAAATGCAAAAAGAAATATTAAATGCCATAAAGGAGGCAGCGTCATAGTGTAGTGGTTAAGAGCATGGCTAAGGTGATTAACGACAGATTTGTAACCTGAAAATTGCCAGTTTAAGTCCCTTGATGTTCTCTGCTGTAACCCCCTTAAGCATGATATCATCGATCTGTTCCAGTATATCCCCCCGGGATAAATAGATAAAAAAAAAAAAAAACGTAAATGGGCAAAAAAAAAAACGATTTTGATGAATGTGTCAGCTAAGCGTCTAATGTAAATGAGGAGATGAAAAAGAACAGGTGAAAAGGGAGAGCAGATGGCCCCCACAGAGACAGGGGGAAAGCGGCCGTCTCCACTAATCGCGGGCGGCTGGTCGCTTAAATCCGGGACGGATTTAACGTCTGCTCTCGCATTCCGGAGATGACGATGCTGCTGCTGCAGTCTGCACCGTCGGGCATCGCAAAGAAATCATGTTGTGTCTCTTCCCGAGAGTAGGAACTTAATCTACCGCAGAATCAGTAATTCATGGCAAGTTTCTCATTATAAATTTATCTTCTGTGTGGAATCATAATAAATGAAATATTTAATATAATAAAATAATATTCTCGATAATACGCTAACAATAAACTATATGGAGAAAAAAAATATGTGAAATGGATAAAAACTAATAAAAATGAATAAAAACTGCCATAGTAAAGTTCTGTACAAGGAGGAAAACGATTCATTCAAATTCAGTTATTGATGGTTATAGCAATCACAAATGTATGCTCAGAGGGTTAGGACGTGTGTCTGTGATCAGAAGGTCACTGGTTCGAATCCCAGGGCTGTAGTTGGATGCCTGTGGAAGGCCCTTTACCCCCCACCTTTAGGAGCACTGCACACTGACACTGTATTCTGACCACCCCTTCCCCCCCCTAGCCCCCCCCCAGGCTTGTTCTCACAAGTATTTGTGTGTCATGGAGAGCAAGATGGGTTTGGTAAAAAGAGAATTTCCCCAAAGGGATCAATGAAGTATATTCTATTCTATTCTAAATTTATGATGCAATATTAGTTTGGTAAATACTTCCATCTAGTGGTAAATGTTCACAGCAACCTCGAACGAAGCAAGACCGAGCTCCGATACCTGTAACAGATATTCGACCATGATGGATGCCTTTGTTAAGAAGTTTATTTGAATTCGATTAGATGCTGTTAAAAATCTCACGTTCCATATGAATTTTCTCCTGTCTTTTTCCGTGTGAATGTCCCTATACAAGCACGCGTGTTATGCATGGACGACTGCAATTTCCCCTGCAGCCTTTCTCTCCAGCAGATCTGTAATGGGCATTTAGAGCATGGCTGAATTTAAGCATCTTTAAAGCGACAGGTCACTGCTCTCCTCCATTCCACTGATGTCTTTGGATCTGAGGTCCAAGCCCCAGTGGTGACTGCAAGTAACTGGCGACCTGCATAGACTTTTCTTGGGGTAGGTGCTCAAACATGGCTGCACGGCTAACCGCTACTTTGGTGTCGCAGGTCCACCTCGGTCAATTTTTACGATCGTGGGGGGGCTTCCATAAATTTTCACTGTCGGAGAGGTTCCCGTGGTAAATTCTGCGTGATTGTCGGTTATCGAAAACAGGACGCTTAGAACAGAGGCGTCACTTACATTCGAAAGGGCGACATACAGTAGGCGGTTCTAGACCCTATCTAGGGCTTCAACCTCCCTGAAAAATAGTCTTTCTAAAACCATTTTTCGATTTGTCACGGATTTTCCTGTAGCCTACATTTCATACCCCCAGTACTGCTGACTTTATCGTGGGAATCCCCCCTCCTCTCAGCAAATTTAATCATTTGAGCTGGGGGGGGTTGCACGTCCCGTATTCCTTCAAGTGTCAAATCCTAGAATCGCCCCGTCTATTCAACTGTAAGGTCACTGCTGTCCTGCAAAGCAATTCCTGCCAGGGGTTTGAGCAGAATGGCTGTCAAATAAATATGAGGGAGATTTAACGGGAATGAACACCAGGCTTCAGCGGTAACCGAGGGTCATGTCTTCCTTCCTGAGTGTCAGATTCTATTATCTTCTGCTTCGGGATATCCGGCAGGGGTGAACAGGTACCACTCTCTAACCCAGACCGAAGATGAATCTATTCACAATTTTTCTGGGAGTCAATACTCTTAAGTGACCATCGTATTTAAGCATTGCACTGAAATACTAGCTTTGAGACTATGAAAGATGTGTCTTTATCCATGTTGCCATTGCTGTCAAATGCGGACACTGCTTACTCTAATTCAGCACTGTTAGTGTGAAACCGTTGAAGTGGTCACGTGAGCCACCCAGCGGTTTTGTATTTCTTTAATCATTAAATTTGTATTTATTGAGCCATTATGGTGTGCCGTTCGCGAATGATTTGTTCACGGGAAACGAGTCCCTTACACGAACCATACACTCACGTTCACTTACCCGCAAAGATCCGTTCTTTTCGTTCTTCCACTTGTCCTCATAAATATGACGTCAATGCTGCTTCTCTCCTCGAATAAGGCCAGTGAGAACCAGTCAGACATGCAAGGGCATGCTGTAACCGAGCATATGATTGGTTGGAAACCAAACGTGGGATTGAACGTATACGCCTACAGTGAACGAACGACCGACAGTCTCTAGTTTAGTTCCGAACGAGAGATCCGAAGGAAGGAACCAGTCGGTGAACGAGAGACTCAGATAGGCTACTGAACCAGAGAGCCGTACCTCGGTCATGACTGAAATGCACCATCTACTGGTGTAGTACTGTATATAGTCTACATGTGCAGTGACTTCCCCGATGCTGCAACTGGATTTTAGAGGTGCAACGTTTTCACGATTTAAGTATTTAACATTATTTTATGGTTGGTTAGCGTTTGGATTCGTTTTATATGCGATGTGCTGTTAGGTGTGCGTTTTTAACAAACATGGATAGCCTTAGTACAATGTTGAGAGATTATTATATTTGTTCAGTAACAAATATAATTTTTCTCACATGACTTATCGGTGGTATTTAGCTCCTTCCTTAGCACTATCTATCCTAAATAATAGGCTATTTTTGACATATCGGAGCACAAGTGTTTCTCGAATCGTCTTGTTCGCAGATTAACAGGTGCTCCTACCCACTCGTCATTTTCTTTTTCGTTTTTTATTTGAACTTTTGCCTGCTGTCCTGTTACCGAAACACAGAAATCACCCAACACGGATGACAAAAACACAATGACGCTCTTTTTTGGACAAGTAATAATGCTGATGATATAATAGTTAGTATTGCAATATAAAACTATAATGTAGACTATAAATTAACGCAAATGGGTCTCGTTGTTGTGACACCTTTATATGCCATTTTAGCACACAATAGGGCACCGTTCAGAACTGACTTGAGAATGACCTTGGAAATCAAATTAAATTAATAAAATTGGTTGAAAACAGGGTGCAGAATCACAATTCGAATTTGAATATAAGGAATTAGAATTAAAATAGAATTGATTTCACATAAATTCATATAGGCCTACATAGTGTAGGTGCAGCTGTAACAATACCGCTTAGTATTTCAATATGAATTACACAGCATGTTAACATAAACAGCGTACACTGAATCTCACCCCTACCCCAATCCAATTATGAATATTTATGGCAGCAAAAAGTACCACTAGGCCTTGTTTCCCTGATCGAGCACCTGCCTGAAAAGTCTGTGCGTGTCACTTTTATTCAGAATGAATGAATGCCACATTTCAAGTGTCGCGTATAGAATAAATAATTTAAATGCAATTTTGTGTACCATAGTGGAAGAACGCTTCCTGCAGTCATACAGGTAACCCTGTCACAACCCCATCCAGCTGATAATTCACCGACACTCACAAGAAAAGCTACTGCAGACTCCTCGCAAATGGTACCACACATAAACAGTTAAATATGCAAAAGCAATAAATGTATACAGATGGAAAAGGACTTAGAGGGCTGACATAAACCAAATGCATATTGTTGGAATAGGCGAAAACAGTTACACAACCATTATCTTACAATCATGCAAATATAAAGTTCACTTCACTCAGTAATACATACAAAGAAATTATATGTGTGGTCAATATATACATCTACCACCATAAAGTAAATCTATTATGTAATTATTTATGTTTTGCTAGATTAAATGGCATTCCTGCGTTGTATGATTGCATTGAATTGCTTTTAATTGAAACGAATTACATTCTTCTTATTGCCATTCCAAGTAAATATCTTACAGACTGTGGCCAGTTCAGTTCAAATTGCAATTTGTGAATGGAATGGGACACAATTCGTAAATTCTGAACCACCCTGGTAGGCTACATAATGAACTAACTAATCAAACTTGCTATGTATTCAGTCACATCTTTTGAACTGAGAAGGTGAATCACCTCTCATGACCAGCAATGGAAGAGAATTGTGCTAGTCACCCGAAGAGAGTTTGAGACAGCGCTGTCCAGGAAAACAAGCTGCTTGTCTAAATGCTCTTTTGTGGGTGGCTATGTAGCCCGTGGACCATCTCATTTCTCAGTAAGTAACAATTTCTAGAAAAATACAGGCTGGCCTGGGGTGAATTAATGAGCCTCCTTTGTCTGGTGCTGGATAAAATGAAAGGAGGAACACACTGGAATTTTGCCCCCAGTGCACCGATCAGCTCCTGACAGCCCTCTGCTTCTGTGCCAGTGATGCACATGGTCTCAGCAAGGCCGCTGTGTCCTGCATCTGTGCATGCAGTGATCGCATTTCAGTTGCACCATGCACACATCTACATACAATGTCCAACAGGAGGGGATACCTTGCATGAAACTAAAATCGGTTTTCATGCCATATCAGACACACTGCATGTGGCACTGCAGGTGCAGTGGATGGAATGCTCAACTAAATTCATACTCGCAGCCTCTTGGATCCCATCTACATGTGTCGAAAAGGGTTCTTGGCACTAGGCCTGAATGTCCTGGTGATATGCAGCCATCAAGGGCATTTTCCAGACATTGTGACCAAGTGACCTGGAAGTACACATGATATCTGGTCCAGCTTTGGAGTGTGTCAGATGGCAAAGGATGGTGCATTTGCTGGTGGCTGGTTATTGGGAGACATCAGGCATCCTCTTAGTAAATATCTACTGACTCCGATGTTTATCCCCAGACGGTGGCTGAAGAGACGTATCACACCACACACCAAACAACACACACTGCTGTAGATGGTGCTTTGGGCATGTGGAAGATGCGATTCTTTACCTGCATCGTTCGTTAACTTGTTGGTTATTTGCTGAGTTTCTTCGCTTTTGGGAAATGCACCCCAGAACGAATCATTTAGATGAATTGAATCAAACAAACTGTGTCCCAAGAAAGAGTCATTATGCTCATCACTACTGAGATGAACATTGTATTGCTGACTATAGGAATTACTGACATTCTGATTTTCATTGCAGTATCTCCTAGTGGGGGAAAAAATAAACTGTTTAAAGCATTAAATATACAGTGCTGACTCTACGGGCCACCAATAATGATGCCTAGAGCAGATTTTAGAAATGTCAGAGCGCACGCACACACACACACACACACACACACACAGGGATATACATATACGTGTGTGTGTGTGTGTGAGCTATGGACCGTGACTGATGTTGTCAAAGGCCCACTTGATCGTTTAATAATGACATAATGACAGTATATATCATGAATATATATAGCCAATTTAAACAAAAAATATTATAGCTGTTTTAGTGTCACTACTTGTGATACTTCCTAGTGAAGTATCCTAAAGACAAAGGTCACCCGGCTGGTCACCCTGAAACAGAGCCACAAATGTGCACCAGCACAGACTGAATTCTTATGTAGTCCTATAAGTTACATACATCCATGATACATGTTGCTGACTGGGTAGGGGGTCTCCCTGCCGACCCACTTTCCCAATGGCCCACCGGGAAAATTCCCAGTTTGCCAGATGGCCGGACCAACCCTGCCAGTATGTGTTTGTATATGTTGTGTGTTTCATTCTCACATTGTATAGATTCATGGGGTCTAACCCTGACTATTTCCCCTGTGTGTGTGATTATGTGTGATATTAAAAGGGGTTTGCTATGCTTTTTGTTGTGAGATAGCTAGAATCTTTGCATGTATCTCGTAGACATGTGGTTGTAGTACCATGGGCTACAGGTTGGGGGCAGCAGAATCCAGATTTGTCCCACCGCGACCATTACAGTCCAGGACCTCAGTAACACGGTTGGAGTGACGTGAGCCATCAGTGTGTGTCCACATATGGTGGAGCAAATCTGTGTACCTCATTTCATTCAAAGCAGCGGAAAAGAAGATGACGTGGTTTAATAAACAAGCAGCGAAAAATACATTTTTCTTGTTGGAAAACGGTCAGTTTATAATGAAAACAAATTAGAATGCATAATTCCATTAAAGATTAGTTCAAGTTATTTTAGTTTTAGATGAACACTGAACTGCCGTGATTTAAATCAGTGAATAATCGTACATCATATTTGTTTTTAAGCGATATTTCTGTTTGAACAATGCTATGAGATACTAAGGCCGCAGACTTTGCACATCTCGCTAGCACGTATGAGAAGCCAAATCCCTCGTGCGCCACAGGGTGTCGCTGAAGTGTCAGCTGTGGTCACAGCTGGCAGACACCGAGGTGTGAAAACGACAGAAGACGACAGGGCACGCAATTTCACTGACCTTTATCGTCCATAAACTGCATTTCTTTATCCTGTGCAGTCGGCCTCATTGACTTACTCGCAGCATACAGAATTCCATTTCAAGATACCTCTCTAGGTACGGTGTCTGTTAGCTTTTGCATTTCCCAGATCCATCAAGAAACATGAAAAAGATTTGTTTTGCTTATTAAAATTTAATTTCCTTTCCCCTAATTTGATCCGGCTCATTTCTACAACTCGAATAACATCAGTACAAATTAGTATTCAACTTAGATTAACGCGTAATTTGGTTCCCTAATTGATTGGAAACCATTAGCCAATTAAAATAATTATGAGCAAATTAACTATTCTTAAACAACATTTAGGTTTTTTTTTTACTTTTATACAAGTACTTCATGAAAAAAAATGAAATTAATGACAGCTAAATTAATAAGAAACGGTGAAAGGCCCGCAAGACCATGATTAGAACAGGTAAGCATGCAGCTGAAGAAACTTTAACAGAAGTCAAATTGTATTTTGAAAATCGTGGAAACAATTAATCCGCAAACGAGAACCCGGGTACTCTCGGCTGCTTATTATATTATTATATATATTTGAGTTCGTTTTAATCCGAGCAGCTGCAAGCTTTACATATAGCCTATGAATGTATGAGCGCTCATTACATAATCACTGTCTTTTAAAGATACTAATAAATAAAATTGAATAAGGTGGGCCTATACTGTGCACCAGGTGCAAACGCTCTTCTTTTAATCCTTCGTTTGAAAGGAGGGAGAAAGGGATTTGGGTCTTCAGGATAAATTTAAACTGGTCTTAAGAAATTAACCAGGCAGAAAACTAACACGACGCTTTAAATGCAATTAACGCGGTATAACGTTATCTGTAGCTGTAGCCACTCAGGAAGGTGCAAGCCGGCTGCCAGCAGAAGGAAGCGCCGCACGGTCAGAGGAGCCGCGCTTGCCGGCGCTGCCTGCCGGTGGACGAGCGGCATGCTGGGGAACAGGGATGTGCTTTGGGGGGCAGAACCGGAGCTCCCATCTGTCCCAAGCAGACGCTCCTGGCTGCAAAATGCCAGCGGTACGGTCAGAGAGGGAGGTCCCTTCATGGCCATTAATCATGGTCTTATTTAAATCGGCTATGTATCATCATTAACAGTTCACAATGTTGATTTTATTTTTTTGCATTTATTTGTAGAGAATAAGTTGGTGACACTTTGGGTGAGATTTCAGGGTTTAAAATAAAGGTCCACGTTTTACCATGTGTAAGGCACTATCAGTTTAAAATATTATATTTACAGATTTTATTATATTTACAGAGTTCATTTTATGAAAAGTTGTCATGCAGTTGCTACTAAGTGAATATTGTGAATCTTTTTAATTCTGTTTATCTCGCCTCTTGCCTCAATCTCAACTTGTGAAACTGTGCCCCAGAAGCTACACATTTCTTTCGTGCTCATAAATAAAGGTAGCGGCATATTCACAAATGCGGAAGGATGTGAGAAAACTCGTAGAGGGGGCATTTTAGACGGCGACCTCAAGCAGCGGTTTCCTGTAAGCGGCCACTTCTCCGGCGCTTAGATACCCGGCATCATTGAGTCAGTGTTTTATATAGCTTTCGGAAACGCACGAGGCGCATTGGCGGTGCATCTCTACTTCTCCATCACCCCCCCCCCCTGA